TACCCTCCCACCCATTCTTCCTTCTTCCTTCTCTCCCTCCTTCCCTTCCTTTCCTCCATTCAGCCTTCCTTCTTTTTTTCTGGTAGGGATGGGGAAAATTTCCTGCAGCAGAAGTGACAGGTTCCTGAGGCACTGTGGAAAGTGGTAAATGGGTATTTGAAAACATTCTTTTTTGCCACTCTGGGGCTTGAACTCAGGGCCTGGACACTGTCCCTGAGCTTCTTTGGCTCAAGGCTAGCGCTCTACCAACTCAAGCCGCAGTGCCACTTCTGGCTTTTCCTGTGTATGTGGTACTGAGGCATCAAACCCAGGGCTTCATGCATGCTAGGCAAGCACTCTACCACTAAGCAACATTCCCAGCCTCTAAATGGGTATTTCTGAAAATTTTACTCTTTGACTAGGAGATGTACTCTCTATTGACTTCCTGATGACCAACAAGTGACAATTAACCTTTGGGACGTATTTGCTAAAGGCAGGGAAGTGTACCTCAGTTCCCACAAATTCTTAGTCAAGCTAAGCCCATATAATGAGGAACTGTAATGAGGGTTGAGTTCTGTGCTATCATTCAAATCATGTCTGCATAAAGTCATGTTTGCTCATGGCACAGATAGCTGCTTGGCATAGAATACTCAGGGAAAAGAGCAGGCTACCTAAATACAAAATACAGTATGACTTGCTGGGGATTAAAACAATCCTAGGTATAGACCAATATGGTTTGCAGTTTGAGATCATAAGGAAGGAAATGCAGATTATCTATTCCTTTGTCCTCATACTTTCTAAGTTTTTTGTTTTGGTCAGTTGTGGGGCCTGTACTCTGCCCTGGGCGCTGTCCCTCAGCTCTTCAGGTCAAGGCTAGTGTTCTACCAACTCAAGCCACAGTGCCACTTCAGGCTCTTTCTGCTTATGTGGTGCTGAGGAATCGAACCCAGGGCCTCATGCATGCAAGGCAAGCACTCTACCACTGAGCCACCTCCCAGCCCTCTTTCTAAGTTTTTATAGTAAGTCCTTTTCTTCCCACATTCCTCCCTGTATTATTCTTCTTACTGACTCTTATCTATCTATCCATTTTTTTTTTGTGTGTGTGCCAATACTGGGGCTTGAACACAGGGCCTTGGCACTGTCCCTTAGCTTTTGCCTCAAGGCTGGCGCTCTACTGCTGGTACTCTACCATTTGCACCACAGCTCTACTGGCTTTTTCTACTGGAGATGAGAGTCTCATGGCCATTTTTCTTTTTCTTTCTTTCTTTTTTTTGTCAGTCGGGGGTTTGAACTTAGGGCCTGGGCGCTGTCCCTCAGCTCTTCAGCTCAAGGCTAGCACTCCACCACTTGAGCCACAGTGCCACTTCAGGCTCTTTCTGCATATGTGGTAATGTGGAACGGAATCTAGGGCTTCATGCATGCTAGACAATCACTCTACCATTAAGCCACATTCCCAGCCCCAATTTTTTTTTTTGTCAGTTGTGGGGCTTGAACCAAGAATATTTTTTTAAGAGGCTGGTGCCAGTAACTGGTGGCTCATGCCTGGTAATCCTAGCTACTCAGGAGGATGAGATCTGAGGATCAAGATTCAAAGCCAGACCAGGCAGGAAAGCCGGGTCTTATCTCCTGGTCTTATCTCAAAAACCAGAAGTAAAACTGTGGCCCATTTGATAGTATTGAACACAAAAGCTCAGGGAGAATGCCTAGGCCTCGAGTTCAAGCCCTGGGACTAACACACACACACACACACACACACACACACACAAAGACATAATCAGGTTTAACATGCTCTAGATATTTCTTTGGAGATTGACTTGTGGCATAAATCCTGATTATGATCCCATTCCCTGTTCATTTCCTTTGCAAATTATAGAGCAGAAAATGTTTTGAAGGGCTGAAAAATGAGATGCCAAGTAACTCAGGCCCTTCTGGTTTCAATAAACAGCTTTTCTGGCAGTCCTGATGTTTTGGCACTCATGTCCTGACTGCTTTCATGTCAGAAAGCCTTGGCTTCCTCATTGTGCCATTCATTTGATTATTGACTTTTTTCCCCTGGTACTCTCATCATTAATTTCGTTTGCTTTTCACTGTATTCCTAGACATTCAGGGCTCTGCCTCTCAACTAAACTTCCGTCTTCCTCCCCTAAGAATACCTTCCAACTTCTTTTTTATTGGTCCTTCTATGGACAACCAACTAATGAGTGAGGCCCTTCGATAAAAATTTCCATCTCACATGTATAGAGTAGTTGGTGTATGGATTGGTGTTAGATATTGTTTACTTTTTTCTTTTTCCTTTTTTAATCTTCTTTTTTATTGTGAAAATACCATACAGAGGGGTTACAATTACATGAGCAAGGTAATTTCTTTTTTTGTTTTGTTTTGTTTTTGGGTCCGGTCGTGGGGCCTAAACTCTGGGCCTGGGCACTGGCCCTCAGCTCTTCAGCTCAAGGATAGTGCTCTACCACTTGAGCCACAGTGCCACTTCTGGCTTTTTCTTTTTGCTTATGTGGTGCTGAGGAATTGAACCCAGGGCCTCATGCATGCAAGGCAAGCGCTCTACCACTGAGCCAACTTCCCAGCCCCATGAGTAAATTTCTTATCAAGCATTGTTGACTCCTCCTTTGTTTCCCTCCCCATCTCTCCCCCCCACCAAGTTGTAAAGTTTGTGTTTTGACATAATGACTTGTACATCTCATTGTTCCAATAGGTCCATCTGTATCCTATTTAAACAATTTGTTTATTCCCTTCCCCACCACAAATTATACCAACATCAAATACAGTGAAAGCAGGGGTTATACTGTGGTGGGGGGGGGGACATAAAAAGCAACAAAGAAATGATCTTATAAATGTGTTAGAAACAATCGAATGAAAGAAAAAAACAGTGCTGAGCTCTTTTGCTCAAGGCCAGCATTCTACCATTTTGAGCCACAGCTCCATTTCTGGGTTTCTGGTGGTTAATTGGAGATAAGAGTCTTTCAGACTTTCCTGCCCAACCTGGCCTTGAACTGCAATACTCAAATCTCAGCCTCCTGAGTAGCTAGGATTACAGACACGGGCGCCTGGCTGGAATTTTGTTCTGATTTTTAGGATTAGATTTTGCAGCCAGAGTACTTCTCTTTGAACCATTCATGCCCACAAAGATTTATTTTTTTTTCCAACCCCCAAATAAAGGCATACTGAGAATGTGAGTATTGGAAGCTGGCAGAGATGAGCCAGTCTGTGAAGTGGGGCCAATAAAAAAGCAGAGTCATTGATGGCTACATGGTTCCAGTACCCTTTACTGAGCTTTTAAGTGCAGTCAGAAATGAGCAGAGAAGAGCAAAAGGTGGAGAGAAGACCAAGATGTTCTGACACTGAGAAATGATGTATAAAGAAAACAGCTCTGACTCTATCATTGTCTTGAGATGCTTACCCCTTTGCACTCTGTTTTGTGATGCTGGAGGTGAGAAAGTGACAACACTTGTGTTTCTGTCTTACCAGAAATCCCCCTTTGAGACCAACAGGGGGATCTGGAGCGGGGAACATAGCCAGGCTGAGAGCACTTCCTGTTTTTCTACTTCCGGTTCCGGTGACTGTCGCCATGTCAACTCAGGTTGGCCTAGCTGCAACGATCTCTCGTGTCTGCAGTAGGAAGGACCCCAGTAGCCTTACAGAAGTGTGGAGGTCGGCTATGGGGGGAATGGCCAGGAGGGGCTTTTGCCATCAGAGACCCCAGATCTAGTGGAGCAGCTTCTTAAAACTACCTTTATTGTGTGTGCCAGTGGTGGGGTTTGAATCCTAAGGCCCTGGGCACTGCCCCTGCCCCACTTGAGTTACAGCTCCACTTTTGGATTTTTTTTTTTTTTATTGGAGATGAGAGTCTCACAGACTTTCCTGCTCCGGCTGTCTTCGAACCCGTGATCCTCAGATCTCAGCCTCCTGAGCAAGCTAGCTGGGATTATGGGTGTGAGCTCACCCGCATCTGGGCCTATGGTCTCTATTTTAAATGGCTTTATTTGGACATTGACTCGGGGACTGCTGCTTTTGTTTTTTTTTTTTTTTTGGAGAGGCAGCTGGGGTTGGGGGTAAACAATGTTAACAGCTCTAAAAAAATAAATAAATAAAAAGGCATTTTGCATATGATGTGGCTAAAACTACCCCATGGGGTTTTTCACTTAAGTCCAATAGTCTGCAATGCCATTCATGCTTAAAACGGCCCATTGTTCCTAGCCTTTTACACTTTAGTAAGGGAAAACCCTGCTACAGACCTCTGGGGATATGTCTATAACCTACAGATTACTATAAATCATTCTTGACAGACAAATGAGGTTCCTCCCTCCTCTCCCTCTCTCATTCTTTCTTTTCCTCCCTTCTTCCCTTCCTTCTTCCCTCTCCCCTCCCTCCCTCCCTCCCTCCCTTCCTTCCTTCCTTCCTTCCTTCCTTCCTTCCTTCCTTCCTTCCTTCCTTCCTTCCTTCCTTCCCTCCTTCATTTTTCTTTTTTCACTTTGAAGCATGAACTTTGGTTTCTACTGAGTGGTATCTATGTATCTATATGTGTTTGAGTAAGATACCAAGGGGGGAAAGTCTTTTGTAAGGTATTTTCAGTACCTCACTCAAAATGTCCCAGGAACAGGAAGAGTCCCACTTTTATTCTCAAACAAAAGAGTTTCTGTGTTTTTGTAGTTGATTGTTGGGTGGGGAGAAAAAAGGCTTTTATGTTCTGATGAGCAATGACAAGTTCTGGATAGTTTTATGGCACAAGAGTGTAAGTACAAATTGGGCTGTGGTGGCTGAAATACTTGCCTGCCTTTTCAGTGATTGCTAGTTGGGTGCTTGAGAATAGGCGCTTGAATGATTTAGCTGAGCTTATTTTCTTATCTGAGAGCAGGAAGGCAAGAGGAAAGCAACAAAGTCACCTGCTTCTCTCTACTTTGCAGAGCTCAAACAGGAGCCTGAATTAGTTTCTTGGACATCTTGTGAATATCATAATATATTCTAGAGGGTTAGAAGGCCAAGAGCTATGGGATCTATGGTTATTTACAGTGATTCCAACTAGCCTTTACTTGGAAACAGAATCAAACCCTCACAGGAAATCTTCCCTCAGCAGGAAAGGAACTATTAAAGGTGAGAGTTTTGTTTTCATTTTTTTCTCATGCTTAGATTCCCCCCTCCCAAATTTATTACTAAAGAGGATATAATCTTAGGCTTACAAAGAGATACAGTAAGAGAAAATAGTGATTGCATGAGAATGTTTACGTTTTCTTTCTCCTAGAAATTCTTTCCTCACACTAATAGTGTATTTCTTGTATTTAAAAGGTAGGTGTGGTTGTCTGTGTCAGGTTTGTAGTCAAGAAGACTACTGGGAAGGGGGATGGAGGGAAATCCTAGACACATCGTATTTGACAAGTTATTGTGCTTCTGTTTTCCTGTCTGTAAGAGGGATCTAGGAATGATACATTTTGGGTTAGTTGTAAAAACTGAATAGGACAATGTAAATAAATATTTCTGGAACCCATTCAATACTATATACACACAGCTGTGTTTGTGTATACATATATTTTTGTTTTTTTTTATTTTTATTTTTTGGCCGGTCATGGGGTCTGAACTCTGGGCCTGGGCACCGTCCCTCACCTCTTCAGTTCAAGGCTCGCGCTCTACCACTCGAGCCATAGCGCCACTTCTGGCTTTTTCTGCTTATGTGGTGTTGAGGAATCGAACCCAGGGCCTCATGCATGCAAGGCAAGC